TTGCCAAAGTCACTACTAAAAAATATAATTTTTACTGTACTTGTTAGAGGCGGTTTGAAAACCATTGCCAACATCAGCTTTTTGCACCGATATTAAATTATATACTTGATTCGGCGCTCGCTTCTCCTTCTTGATCCCCTTCTCTTTTTTCTCTTGAATCCCACGTGTGGCTCTCCCTCTTTCTGTCTCTCTCATTTTTTCGTGCATAGATCATGGCATGCGATCAGCTACCAGATAGTTAACTATGCCAAAGCCTAAAATTCGTTCGAAAAGTTGTTTTAAAAGCATTAAAAAAAAATTGTCCCTAATAAAATCTTATTCAATTATGTTTTCCCGTTAATCTTATCTTACTGTAACTATTCATTTTTTTTATGAATTTTGTTTAAAAAATCTGACATTTTATGCTATCATATGAGAATTATTTAAATGTGGTAATAGTTATTTACTATGCTGACATAATTAGCTAATATTCTGCTTCCTTTTTTGCTTCAGCAACTGTCCAAAGCTAATAATTGACTAATTTATTAAACTAAACTACACCCCTTATGGAAGATAACAGTTTTGTACTGTCAAAATCTTTGTATTCTAACATAGACATAGAGATACTAATGATAAAATTATTGATGTGGAAACCTCTTCACTTTTTAGTTCTAAACTCTTTAAATGTGAGATATGAAGAAAGAATTGATTAGTCAATTTAAATAAGGTTTTGTTTGAGATAGTTTTTTTATTTTTTTTAAAGTAGCTTTTTAGTATAAAAAATTCTAGTTCAAGAAATTTTTGTACTAAAAAGTTATTTTAGAAAACCATAAGAAAGATGTCTCAAACCAAGTCTTAGACTTCATTTGGGACGACTTTCTTACTGCTTTTTAAAGCTTTAATTTTTGCGTTAAAAAATTGCTTTAAGAAGCAGTAAGAAAGCTGTCCCAAATAAAGCCTTAGTGTTACTTAGAAGGAGTAGCGAGTTGATAGTAATTATTTCTCTTTGTCCTTTGGTGGTGATTGAGAATGACAAAGCATTTAGTGCTTGAGCATGCAAGCTTGGTTGCTTTGCTTTGGGATACAAAGTCGTACATCTAGTTGATAGCATTTGTGATAATGATGGAGTTAGCTTCTAGTTGATAGCATGATTGATAGGTCATCCATCTAATATTTATAATTGGTGGATCTTTATGTTTGGTTAGCATTCAAGTTCATGTGAGGATTTATATATATATAATGTGTATAATAATATGTATATTCATTTATCTCAAGAGTCTAGTTTAGTCAGAGTCGGGTTGGTTCAAGGCAACGCGCATGTATGGGAGAGGTAAAGATAATGAACTTGTCAAGATTTTGAGGAACTTTTCAAGCTAAGTGATGAATTCATAGAAGTGCACTAAATCTTGCTAACATCTAAGCGCCAAAATCACAAGACCTACTTACCCAATCTTAGGTCAAGGTGTCTAAGCTTAGGCACATGCTCATAGGAAAGGAGTTCGTGCCAATGCCCAACTACTATAGGAAAATCATCACATACTAGTGAACTTTCTGGCGGTTACAGAACCACCGAAAAATCCTGAGGGTAAGCTAGCATATTCACCGCCTATAATAACCTGCGGTTATAACGGTGGGTTAACCGCCGGTAATCGTCAAAATTTCTGATCCGCCAATATTTGATAAGTTCGAGACTGTTACCGACATAATGACTATCGGCTTTAAGTGAATTATTTCTAGCGGCTATAGTTGGAGTAAATGCCACCAGTATGAGCCCTATTTCTCCGACTCACTCATTCTTCCTCATTTCAACGTGTCTTCAATTTCTCCTGTCCAAGAGAACACCGATACTCACTCCCACCGAAATATCCAAAAAAATTACCCATTTCTGTCAGAAAAATCCGCAGTTAATCGACGATTTTCATGTAGTTAATTGAGGTACATCAACAATTTCCTTATAAATCCAACTAGTTCATCTAGAGGATTATCAACTTCATATATTGACGAATAATCTCGACCACTTGGTTAGCAGTTTCTATCAATAAAGAAGATGATTTCTCATGTGTAATAAATAGCGATGAATATAGGCATTTTTTATTTTTTTCCTCAACTTGAGGTAAAGCTTGGGTTGAATTCTTCTATAGGTTGAAAGAAATTTTATTGTTGTTGAATTTAATAAGATTTACTATAAAATAAATTTTAATTGATAAAAATATATTATGCTTAATAAATTAATATCTCTTTTGACATTTAATCCCCCCTAATTATTTTTCTTTTGCAGTTATTGTATTTCATAATTTTAATTTGTGTAATTAACACACAAAAAAGTGCCAATTGTAAGATTATTTTATTTCTTTAATTTTATACAAAAAGACAAAATATTATTAATATTATTGCTTAGTCTCATAAATAATTATTATATTTTATATCAATTAATATGTCAAATAAAACATATGTAAAAACAAAAAAGCCAAATAAGTTAAGAAATCATCTTTTTTACTAAGTATTAAAATAGACACTATGAATAGGGTAGTATAAAAACTCACATGGCTAATATTATTTTCTTATTACATACAAATATAATAATTTTATAGAAATTCATTAATGAATGTATGGGTGTCAATATTTGATTCGATTTGAATTCGATCTGAAAAATTTTAGTTTCGGGTCAACCCGTTTGTCATACGAGTGGGGTTAGAGTCAACCCATTTGAACCCGGGTCAGTTTCAAGTTCGACCCAAACCCGAAATAAAAAATTTTGTACTAAAAAGTTTATTTATAAAATAGTAAAAAAAGCCATCCAAAATAAAAAAAGTATTCAGTGTAGTTTCCTTGCAAGGAAGAAAATAGATTCCATATTAGGGCTACAAATAAATAAAGTGTTCGACAAGCTACTCATGATTCAGCTCGATTATAGATCGTTCGTGATCATTTGATTAAGTAATCAAGTAAGCTTGAACATTTTTTTAAATACTCAACAGTTAAATAAACAAGATTGAACATCCATGTGTCCAACTCGGTTATGTTCATGAACAAAATTATTTAAACCTCGTGAACAAGCTTGACACGAAGCTTACTAAGAAGCTTGATTCATATTTGATACAAAGATCATCACTCATTTGTTCAAGGGCTCGATCGTTTGGTAACTCGAAAATACTCGCTAGATATATTCAAAAACAGACTCTAGTTCTCTACAGTAATTATTTGCTGATAGGCTCGACAAAGTAAATTTGATAAGCTAATGAACATCTAAAAAGTAAAGCTCATTAAAGCTCAATAAGTACGAAATAAATCGAACACAAATAAAATAAAAACCAAACATGAACATCTATTATTTTAAATAAAACAAGCTTTAATAAAAACAAAAAAGTTTGAATCGAGCTCGAATCAAGCTTGAATAAATAAAATACTTTTAAATTTTTTTGCATGTTTTTAAAACAACTATTGTAGCCGAACAGTCGCTATCGCCGCCGATGATCATCATCATCATCATTATCATTGCTTTGCAATCTGTTGTTGCTGCCTTGTTGGCAACCGTCACAATTACAACATAAATCCGCTTATTTGATATTCAATAAAAATAATATGAAGCAAAATAAATTAATTTTCATATCAAAACATAAATAAAAATAATCCCAAATATCCCCTAAATTATATAATAAATTGACTTGCTATAGCATCCCTTAATAATTTGTTTATAAACAAAAATTTAATCTACTTATTAATTCAAGGATGAAATATCAAGAGCTCACAATAAGCTATTACTAGCCCAAAAAGTTTTTTTTTTTTCCTTCAGATAAAATAATATTTTTATGTAACTAAAATTAGAAAATAAATAATATTATATTTACAAATTTATTTTATAAGATTTGTTTTTTGA